GGATGATCTTTAAGGTCCCTTCCAATCCAAACCATTCTATGATTCTATGATGACAGACTTCCACAAATGAAAATATTTATGTTTAGTTGTTGATTGGGAATTAAGGATGAAAGGACTCCCAAACCTGAGCGTATTCAGGTTGGATGCAGTGACCACTGTTCAGAACCTGAGAGCTGTGCTGGAGACTCAAGCTCGTGTCGTGGAGAGCCTCTCCTTAGGGACTGGTATAGGGAAGAGGTTGTGTTTGAAACTGTGTTTTGCTGTTCTCAGGTTTTTGGGGAGTGGTGTCTGGTATCCTGCTGTGATGCTTCTAGGACAGCCACATCCTGTGCTGCACCTGTGGAATTCTCCTTGCCCTATTTAAGCTATTCCTTATGGTCAAGACCAAATTAAAGTGGTCAGTGACTTCAGGCAGTGAGTGATTCTATACTTTGCCCTAGTGAAGTGACCCTTAATTATGTTGAAAAATGTGTATTTTGAAAAACCTTGTGAGTTTGTCTGCTGCCCTGCAGATGGTAGTACTGTCTATAAATCCCTGCTGACAAGTAATGTGGGAAGTGGAACAAACTTACTTGCCAGTAAAATGTGTTCAAAGTGTGCCAAGGCTTATTTATAGTGTATTTAACACTGTCCCATGCTTCTGGAATAGTCTTGCCTCTCAACATCATGGCTTGAGGGACTCCTGTTGTGGGGATATCCCCAGAACTATTCCTAATTCTGTATTTCAAGGCTGCTCAGGGAGGTGGTGGAGTCCCCATCCCTGGTGGGATTTCACAGACGGGCAGACGAGGTGCTGAGGGACGTGGTTTAGAGGTGGAATTGGTAGTGTTGGGTTCATGGTTGGGCTCGATGATCTTTAGGGTCTTTTCCAACCACTACGATTCTGTGATTTCAGACTCTGGAAATTGGTAGGTAACCCCTGATATTCTGGCTAATGTGTCTAGTAATAAATAAGCCAAGAAATATGACAGGTAGTGTTGTTCCCAAAGTGACAGCAAGCTGCCTGGGAGTTGAGAAGCTCAAAATATTTGTGGCTGAATAGGGATCCTGAGGGTAAAGTGATCAGGACTTAAACTGCTTCACAGAAATGTTTAAGCAGAAAAAGAACCTGGAGGTAAGTGTCTGATTTTGAGAACTTGGTACGTCCTGGTGGTTGCTCAAGGCCAGTGTGTTGACAAACACGGGGAGCTCAGCTGCAGGAGCTCCTGAGGAGTCTCTCCAGAGGAAGGTGGTGTCCTTCCTCCTTGAGCCCAGTGGTCCAGGGCATGAAGCAGTTAGTAGAAGGTAGAGGAGCTTTGGCAAATCACTAAGGGTTTGGCTTTAAGCTGAGCTGCTCGGCGTGTGTAGGCACTGGAGTAGCTGGTGTAAACCGCCCGTGCCCTGCGTGGCTGTGCTTGGGCCCCGTGTTTGGAGCAGCGGCCGCAGCATCAGTGGAGAATGCACCAGTTCAGACAAAGAGATTGAGTTTCTTTCACTTGGCTCTGTCTCTTGCAGCCCTTTCTCTTTTTTGAGGATATTTCCCAGTGGGAGGTGGGTTTCCTACTGGTACTGCACATGGCTTGTCATCTGCATGGTTTTGATGTCATTGCTATTCTCAAAAAGAAAAGGAGCAAGACACATGTCCATGGCCCTCGCACTGGCCACATTTGGGTGGTGGCAGATCAGGTGTGAGTCCTGTCACACAAAAACTCGTGCCACCTGCTCTAATGGGCTGCCTGGCACTGGCAGGAATTGAAACTTCTTGTTAGGCTTATTGTTTCTCTGGTTTTTAGCCTGTTTGGCACAATTGAGGATGAAATTGTGGATTATGCTATGAGGCTGTTAGTTGCTAGGTCTGGCTGAAGGTCAGCCTTGTAACCCTGACCTCCTTAGGGCTGAACCCCAGACCTTTTCAATAGTGGGTGTACCTAAAAAATAAAAAATATATCCCATTTTGGGGAAAAAAAAAAAAAATCATGATGAGGGAGAATGCAGGTTGATCCCTCTAAAGGGCAGGTGCAAGTAGTATTATCAACTTCCCATCCACTGGGTGAAAATGAGGGGATATCTTTGGGGGATTAAGATTCCAACCATCTTCTGACATCTGAAACACTCTGACCTTCACAGAATCCCAGAGTGGCCTCGATTGGAAAAGACCTTTAAGCTCATCCAGTCCAGTCATGAACCCAACACTGACAAGTCCCCGACTAACCCATGTCCCTCAGCACTGTGTCTACACGACTCTTCAATCCCTCCAGGGATGGGGACTCCACCACTGCCCTGGGCAACCCCTTCCAATGCCTCAGAACCCTTGCAGCAAAGAAATTCTTCCTCACATCCCATCTCAACTGCCCTGGCCACAACTGGAGCCCATTTCCTCTTGTCCTGTCCCTTGGGCCTTGGTTGAACAGACCCACCCCCACCTCTCTCCACCCTCCTCCAAGGGACTTGCACAGAGCCAGAAGGTCTCCCCTCAGCCTCCTTTTCTCCAGGCTCAACACCCCCAGTTCCCTCAGCCACAAGGGAACTCAGCACACTTGTGCTCCAGACCCTTCCCCAGCTCCGTTGCCCTTCAGCACAGACCGTACCAGTTTCTTGTTCTGTGCCTGGCAATAGATGAGTTCTCATCCTGACCTCTCCTTTGGAGTCTTGAAGTAATAGTTGTGACATATTGAATAAGATCTTGTGAAATGTCTTCCGCCCTCCTCCAGCCTGAAGGTCATATTTGTAGCTGGACACTTTCTGGACCGTTCAGTGAGATGATCGCAGTGCAGCGTGTAAAGTGTTGGGCTGCAGGTAATGGAGATGAGTGATGAAATCTCTTTCAGGTTTTTAAAATCTTGACTGCTAATCCAAAAAGAGTATGAGAGGTGGACTTCTGCTTCTAGCTGATGTTCCTGGGTGTATGCAGGAAGCTGTGGCCAAAGCAGCTTTCTCAGTCACTGTGAACTGTGAGAAGTTGAAAAAAATCATTGTGGTGTCAGGTGTTGCTTTAACCAGGACAGTCGGGTGGACGGGATATGGATCTGCACTCATGGAAGTTCAGCTTTGAAGTGCTGTCCTGCTGCTCTTATCTCCATTTCTAGTGGGATTCTTTCAAGGACCTAAGGTCCTACTGAAGCCCTGTTAACATGTAACTGCTTATTTCTCCATGTCCCTCCCTCTGTCACTTCTAGAAAAGCTTTTGAGATGACTGCTGGCCTCTTTAATGTTGTTGTTTACTCCACTCTAGCTGTAGGAGCTGCTCAGACTTTAGTTTTGTCTTGAAGCAGAGCTTCCCTGTCCTTACTCGGAGTTCTGCGCAGCCCAGTATGCGGGGACAGTGTACTCCTTAGTGCTGAGTATGTGGGTGTTGATGGAGAAGGCTTTGGGTAGGTGCTCATGCTCAGTTGTGTTGTAAATAACTTACTGGGTGAAACATTTTTGGTCCTGTCAGCTTTTGAGCTGTGTAGCAGGTCTGCACTGGAGGCCAGATGCTGTACAGAGACAATATAACTTGGTCTTCTGGAGCTGGATTCTCCATTTAGATTGAGAGTGAATTTGACACAGAATGATTTTGACCAACTTTGTTGCTTCCTCTAAAAATGGAGAATAAATTCCTGTTGAAAACAGGACTGTTTTGAATTCTGTAGATGTTCGGAAAGACAAACTTCAGAGGACTTGGGTCCTGTGAGAAGCAGCCCCACAGCTCTGTGTCCTGCAGGGCAGGGCTGGTGTTTGCCAGCTCTGTCTTTGTGGGGACGTGTTCACTGTGTCAGACCAAGGGTGAAGGTTGAAATTTCTGTGGCAGTGTGGGAAACCTCTCTCTGCAATTACAGGCAGGAGCTGCTGCAGGTGTTTTTTGCTCAGTGGTTTTTACCCTGGTACACGCAGTGGTGTTCCTAGTGTGCCTTTGCTTTGGATACCTCATGGAAACAGCTCTTGAATCCCTGCTCCAGATGGAATTGTCCCGTTAACATCCTCAGGTAACAGCATTGGCAGCCTGGTGGCTTCTGTTACCCTGTGCAGATGACTCCTGTACAAATCGGAGGTGGTCTGGCAAGGTGAGTAGGAGGGTGGTTTGAAAGATGATTTATTCACACACTTTGAAACGTGTTTTTCTTCTCTTAACAGGTTTTCGATAACTATGCTGTAACAGTGATGATTGGAGGAGAGCCTTACACCCTAGGCCTCTTTGATACTGCAGGTGAGAAATCAAGTGTCACTTGATTTTTGAGAAATCTTGACAAATTGAGAATTGAGAAAACTTGACAACTGAGAAATCAGTTGTCACTGCCCAAGATGTAGTTCAGACAATGTTGAATATAAAGACATGCAGGTTGGGTTTTTTCTTTTTTTTTTTTCTTTTTTTTTTTTTAATGAAAGGGAAAAATTTTTCTTGGTTCTTCTTTCCTGACCTTTGGAGAATTGCTAAATTGAGTTTGTTTAAAAAAACCCAACCTCCCCCTACCCTCCCCCCCCAAAAAAAAACCAACCCATAAAACAAACCCAAAGGTACCAAACCACAACAAGAAAACCTTCCACTTCTTTTAGAGCTGTTTTGTTTTGTGACACTAGATGACAAGTTTCAAACTTTGGCTTCTAATCTAGGTGATACCTGAAGGATAAGTTTCTGTGTTTTTAAACAAAATTAAAGGAGAAAGTTGTGTGGAATAAAATATGTGCATTGTATGTGGTTTTTGTTTAGTAAATAGCCTATTTTTTGACCAAATGTCAAGACAGAATGACTAACATCAGAACATCTTCGGTGTTCGTATGGCATGTGTCTGCATTCTTAACATGGATGAAATCAGAATGTTGTGTGGAGTTTTGTAAACCCCTCTCACTGTGGGCTTTTTCAAAATTAAAAATAGATCTGCAAGCTTCTTTTGTTTAAAATTATTAGCCTGTATCTCCGTTTCTGGCTGGACAAATATACAGTGATTAAACAGCTACACACATCACTGCACGTGTGAAAATTGAGCAAGAAAGGGTAGAAACCGGTTCAACTGCTAGTTACCCTGTCCCCAACCCATAATAATACCAAAATGGTATGGCAGCATCTGGTATTGTAAACCCTCCTTCCAGAGAGCTTAGTTGATAAGCTGTTACCTCAAATTGTCTTGATAGAGCTTAATCATAGAATCATTAAGGTTGGAAAAGACCTCTAAGATCATTAAGTCCAACCGTCAACCTAAAACCACTGTGCCCACTAAACCATTTCCTGAAGTGCCACATCTACTTGTCTTCTAGATACCTCCAGGGGTGGGGACTCCACCGCTGCCCTGGGCAACCCCTTCCAATGCCTCAGAACCCTTGCAGCAAAGAAATTCTTCCTCACATCCCATCTCAACTGCCCTGGCCACAGCTGGAGCCCATTTCCTCTTGTCCTGTCCCTTGGCCCTTGGTTGAACAGACCCACCCCCACCTCTCTCCACCCTCCTCCAAGGGACTTGCACAGAGCCACAAGGTCTCCCCTCAGCCTCCTTTTCTCCAGGCTCAACACCCCCAGTTCCCTCAGCCACAAGGGAACTCAGCACACTTGTGCTCCAGACCCTTCCCCAGCTCCGTTGTCCTCTGACTGTTTCCAGCTGTGTTCTTACAGATGCATCATTAGTGTCTTATTTGATTAATGAAATGATCTGTGGTTTCCAATTAAACACTAGAGCTTCAATTAGCTCTTCACATTCTTCTCCCAAATGTGATTTGTTAGTTATTGCAAACTCATTAGTTGGTGGATAAGGAGTTAAGTAGAGGAGAGAGGCTCCTTCCTGGCACATGTTGTGTAGGGACCAGTGGGGACCAGTGCTCAGCTGGGTCTCACATACAGTGCGCTGGTACCTGCGTGGGTGAAAACTGTTGGGTCCTTCTCTGCCTGTTTTCCTCTGGGTTCAGGCCTCTGGAAACGGTTGTACGTGTAGATATGTGTGTCCACGTACTGTCTGTGAACATGAGAGCAAGAATCCACCTCGTCATCCTGAAAACTCACCAGGTGGCTTTAGTGCACGTAGGTGACTCTACGCACTTGTGAATATAAAGACTTTCCTTTTGGAGCTGGGCTTCTGAACTGGGAGGCTTTTGTGTTTTAAAGGCCACCTGCTTTTTGCTAAAGAGTAGCCAGTTATATAACTTAACAACAGATAAAACCCTTATTACTGACTATCAAATTTCAAAAAAAGTCTTTGTTTTGAATCTGTACTATGAAGACAGAGCTTTTTGGAGGAATCTGTTAAGATATTTTGGTCAGTGCTTAGCTCCTCTGCGTGCAGCCAAGCGTGATATCTGTAACACTCTGTCTAGACCTTCACCTTCAAACTGTAGATCTTCCTCCACTGAGATGTCCCAGGTGTTGAGTCACAGAATCTCAGAATTGCCTGGATTGGAAAAGACCTTTAAGATCATCGAGTCCAGTCATGAACCCAACACTGACAAGTCCCCGACTAACCCACGTCCCTCAGCACTATGTCTACACGACTGTTCGATCTCTCAGAGGTCTTTGTCCTGGAGATGAGAGGGCATCTGTTGAATTTGGAGGCATTTTGAACAAGTGTTTCTGATTCAGCTGCCAGCAAGTGCAGCAGCAGTGTCTTTAGTGCCAGTTTTGCTTTCTAAAAACAGAATTGAACGGGAGGAGATTTAAGAACGAGCTTGGGCAGAGTCAGGCTGGTGGGTCAGTGCTTATGGACCCAAAGGGAAGAGCCTGGCTTCCTCTGAAGCACGGCCCGTGCTGGGACTTTGATGTGTTTTTAGGGGCGTGCTGCTGGGTGGCCTGAGCCCACTCTCGCCTGTGACAGCAGTGTTCTCCCTGCGTGGAGGTCACTTCGTCTAGTGTCACAAGCAGAATGTTCTAGTGAACAAAACTGCCTTTTTTTTTTTTCTCTCTCTCCAAACTGCAGGATTTTTGCAGGGTGGTGAAATTTGATGGCATAATATTTTGGACTAGGTGTAGACATTCTCATCTATAACTGGATCCACTTTCTGCAGCTTTTCGTTATAATTGAGGAAAGTCTTATCTGAGGTCTGAGGGCGTTTGATCTAAAAATTCATTAGAGCGTAGACCTATCAGACTTCCCAGCTCTCCCGTGACTTTAAGCAGCTCATTGTTACACAGCAGCTGAAATGAATTCTGCATTTAAAAACTAGGATCTTTGAATGTTTGGGTTCAGGGCATGTGTATTTGCTTAAGAGTTAGGATTGATCGCAGCAACGCTGTTGTGCTGGAATATGCACTCTAACCACGTGTCAGGGGCACTGTTTCATTGTCTGGGTCTAATACAGTGTTAATTTTCTCCTCTTCTAGGTCAGGAAGACTATGATAGATTACGACCCCTCAGCTATCCACAGACAGATGTATTTCTGGTCTGTTTTTCAGTGGTGTCTCCTTCTTCATTTGAAAATGTGAAAGAAAAGGTCGGTTGAACTCTGCCTAAAAAGGGAGCTGCTGCACTGATTTCAGAAATATGTCTGGAGTTCAACTTGGTGGTTAGTAACAAACATTGTGTCTTCTCTGTCTTTAGTGGGTACCTGAAATTACTCACCACTGTCCAAAGACACCTTTCCTGCTTGTTGGGACCCAAATTGATCTAAGAGATGATCCCTCAACAATTGAGAAACTTGCCAAGAACAAGCAGAAGCCCATAACTCCAGAGACTGCTGAAAAACTGGCCCGGGACCTGAAGGCTGTCAAATACGTGGAATGCTCTGCACTTACGCAGGTGAGGGTTGGGCTTTGACCATTTTTGCTTGCTTCTGTTCTATACCTTTTTTTCAGTTACCTGGAAAAACAGCTCAATATGAACGTGGAAGGGTATAAGCTCTGTTTCTGCTGTTGACGCTGTAGCTTTCTCTTTGTCCCGTTGTTCTAAGGCACGAGGAATTGGCAGTGGTACAAAGAAAACCACCCTGTGAAGATTAGGTGTAGCGTAGAGGGGTGATGGGGGAGGATGTGCTTGCTCTGTTTGCTTTTGTGTTGGAGGAAAATAGCTATTGAATACTTAGAAGGTGTGTTACAGCCAGTAAGTGAGTTAGGACACAGAATGCAGCTCATTGCTGAGGAGAGCAAGCAAGGAAAAAAAACTCTCAGAAGAGTCAGTTCTGGTACTTTTGAGACTGGAAACGTTCATCCTTGTGAGAGCTTCTTCCTGTGCAGTTGGTGGTGAGCTATGTTTCCTGTGGCCTCCTTAAGATGGAAACAGAAAACAACAATGAAATTGTTCTTAAGACATAAACGTGATGATGTTGTGTCAATTAACTTGTGAACATGAGTCTAAAGCCAACTAAAATAGCTGATTTGAGGCCAGAAAACCTGATTATCCTTTCCCTTTAAGTCAGGAATACCAGGGTGGGGTAGATGGGAGCCATGGGCTAGCTGGCATGTTGCCTTGGCTTTGATTGCCCTGGTAGCTTAATCTTGCATGCCTACTCTTGTAGAATTGAATACATCTGTTTTATAATTTCCTTAATGATATTCTGTGAAGAATTTGTCCCTACCTGACGTACATGGAACTAGGGTTGCACAGTATCTAGTCCCTCACTCTTTTCAGTTTTGTTGTGTTCTTCTCTAGTATCTCGAGCACAAAGCTTTATTGCTTAACTCCACGAAGCCTGATGTTCTCCTTATCTTGCACCTTTTGCCCAGATTGCGCGTTGACTCTTCCATCTGGGATCCTGAGGCTCTTTTTTTTGTAACAAAGCTTTGCCTGAGTGTTCGCTGAGAAGGAGGAGGCTTTTGATGGGATTGTGCAGGACACTGGCACTGGAGGTGCTGTGGTGAGACACACTGCAGTTCATCCTGGGAATCCCTGATCACAAGGTGGTCTCGGCTGTGCTTCCTCCCTGCCCACACGCAAGCTCAGGGTTATTTGTGCTCAAGCTTTAATTCTCTTAGATCCGTTTGGTCCTGAAATACCATTTTAGATGGTGTCTGGCACATCCTCAACGCTGCTGCTAACTAGGCTGTAGAACCTGCTAGTTGGTTAAATACACACCAGGACTTTGTCCTGTATCGCTCACTGAGACCCCTTCCTCTCTAGTGCTGAATTTGCCTTGTTTAGTCTGCTCAAATTGCATGGAAGCACTTAGAATTACCAGAATAAGAGTTGATATTACTAAAAATGTCCGTGTTAATCCATTCCTTTTATTTCCAGATAGACTAAACTGCATCTATTGCAGAAAACAGCTTTATGCACTTGGAAGCTCAGCCTGAATTTCTTCCAGAGCACCAGTGCTTGTCTGCCCTTTGGTTTTAGGAATCAAGAGTAACCTGGGAGGAGGGTTCAGAAGCCTTCTCACCTGGAAGACTAGTGGGTTTGCATCTGCTCTATTCTTCTTCTTTCATTTCTTGTTGACTGATCCCACAAAGGACCTTTTTCCTCAGTCTGTCAGTAATAGCTGCCAAACAGAAATGCAGATTATCTGCGGAGGGGTGTTTGAAGTTCCTGGCAGGGATCTACCTGGCAGCTTGCTAAGCACAGGAGGCGGCTGGCTTTCCTAGCCAGGAGGGTTGTTTTCCTACCTGCCAGGCAGTAGGAGCTGAGTTAAACTGAAGCTGAACTCAGCTGGGTGGTTCAGTCTCTTTCACAGAATCCCAGAATTGACTTGATTGGAAAAGCCCTTTAAGCTCATCAAGTCCAACCATGAACCCAACACTGACAAGTCCCCGACTCACCCATGTCCCTCAGCACTGTGTCTACAGGACTCTTCAATCCCTCCAGGGATGGGGACTCCACCACTGCCCTGGGCAACCCCTTCCAATGCCTCAGAACCCTTGCAGCAAAGAAATTCTTCCTCACATCCCATCTCAACTGCCCTGGCCACAACTGGAGCCCATTTCCTCTTGTCCTGTCCCTTGGGCCTTGGTTGAACAGACCCACCCCCACCTCTCTCCACCCTCCTTTCAGAGAGTTGGACAGAGCCAGAAGGTCTCCCCTCAGCCTCCTTTACCTTGGCTTCCATCTACACAGCTCACCTCAGCAATTGAGGGTGGATTTTTCCTTTCCAACTAATTTACAAATGACTGACACTATAGCAGCAAGTAATCATAAAATTGTGGAGCCAGAGCATATTTTTTTTTTCCTGGGGAGAAGAATTTTCTTGTCTGTGTGGAAGAGTTGATGATGTTCTCGAAGTACTAGGTGAGTTGTAAGTGGCTGAATTTCTGAGTCTGTTCTGTAAAGACAGAGTATCTTCTCCTCCCTGAGTTTGGATGGCTCTACAACACTGAGGAGTCAGTTCTATCCCCGCTTTCCTCAGGTTGTGGAATCTGTTTTTGTGATGAAGACACTTTCAATGTCTGTCTTCACCTTTTCTCTACAGAATAGTACCCAACCCACTGTACAGAGTGGGTAACCCTTTGCTATAAGGGTGACTGACAAACATTACAACTAAAATGGTTGTTACTTCTGTTAAAACTTTGCGGTTAAATATCTGAAGGGACCTTCTGAAGCTCAGTGCTAGTACCTAACACAAGGGAGGACTTTGAATTTTGTTCCTTTTTTCCTCTTGAGCCGTGTGCCAGTGGTATCAAACACAGCTCCCTTCAGGTGGTTACTCTTGTATCATCCAAACTTTTAACCTCAGTCCCATTTTCACCTCAATTTTGCTCCTGTCCTGTTTTTCACTCCTCTTCCCTTATTCCAGTTTTTTGCTAGGTCCTTCGAAACAAATCCCAAATTCTGATCTCTTAAATTAATTTCTCCTCTGCAATAGGAAAACAAAAAGAGGAGTCCCCACGTAGGAAAATGAAGGGAGCATGTTTTCTTGACTCTTGCCCTGCCTGGGTCCTTAGTCTGACAGTACATAATTAAGTTTATAGTCCAGCCTAATTCTCGCAGAGAATGATAATTTAATTAGTACTCAGACTTCACATAGGCATTATTTATTTGAAGTCTCTTAGCTCTTTTGTCAGCCTGGGTTCCAACTCGTTAAAAAAAAAAAAAGTTGCTGAGGAGGAAATACAGAGGGATTGTACGTGGTAATTTCTTTAACTTTGTTCTTTCAAGTATAATCTTGCATGTAACATAATGGATTTAAATGCTTCCAGATGGAATTGCCTTAGAGATTTCCCATGGATGTGCTTCAGTAAAACAATATTAAAGACCTTCCAAAAGGGATATATCCAGTCTAACCTGTGAGGGAGAAACCAGTTACATCTGAATGATTTAAAAGAAAAAGAAAAAAAATCTTAATTTTGCAAACAATGCAATTGTTTACAAGAATTAAGTGAAGCTTTTCTGTTGGTCTTTGGCTGGGATAAAGCAGTTTTTTCTGAATTTCTGAAGGTCACACTCGTGACAGTAGATTTAGGCGAGTCCAGTTAGCATCAACCGAGCCAGGTTTCACTGCTGGTGTGCGTGTGTGACTTGGCAGAGCTGCGTGGGAGTGGGACCACGCTCCCGTGTTCCCCTTGTGCTCACAGCAAACGCGACGCGCGCTTCCCGCTGCGGTGTCGTCCCTGCAGAACTCCTGCCAGTCAGTTGTGTGTCTGCTTGACTGGTGTTGGATCTCGGTTATTTCAATCCTAACACCGTTTCTGTCATCCTGTGATTGGAGTGGTTATACTCGCTGTGGTAACTCAACTGAATAACTGAAATGCACCGTTTCCACGCTGGCTGCCCACGTGGAAATAGCAGCACTGGTAAGATATTGCATTGCGTCTTCAAGGACTGATAGTCAGTGTCTGAAGATGATGATGGCTTACCAGAGAGGTCCTGCTTTGATCCCAGGTGCTGTTTTCCCAGCCATCTGGAGATGTTCAGTTATTCAGGGGCTGAATTCACAAAGCAGAGGAGTGGTTGGTCCCTGTTGCTCTGGACTGGCTGCCACTGGGATAGTTGGGAGCAGTAAGTCCGTGTGTCTGAGGTGTTTGCTTATCCACAGTGGGCGTCTAAAAAAAGGTTTGCTTGACCTTTTGGATCCCTGTGGTGGGACAGGCTGCTCTCCACTGTGTTTATTCCCCTGTAAAGTCCCCAAGTGTATCTTCAGCAGTTCAGTGGAAACCAGCATCTTCTGTGCAGCCCCTCCTACCCCTGTGGTCAGTGCCTCTGCCCTTCTGGTCGATCATTTTCTCTAATTTGGTGTGTCATATGTTCTGCCTGTCTCTGACATTGACTTCGGGGTCATCTGAATGAGATTTCCTCCTGGGATCTACTTTGGTTTTTTTTTTTGCAAAGTAAATCTGTTTACTGCCTCTGTGAATTCAGCCTGGTCTGTCCTGAATGCTCTTTGTATCTGCTTGTTTTTCTCTAATCCTCTAACCTGGCTGCTGTTTTTTCTCCTCCCCTCTGTCTTGTAGAGAGGTCTGAAGAATGTGTTTGATGAGGCTATCCTAGCTGCCCTCGAGCCTCCGGAAACTCAGCCCAAAAGGAAGTGCTGTATATTCTAAACTTTCTCCTTCCCCTCTTGCTGCTGCTTCCTCTGTCCCACTACTGTAGAAACCTGGTTTAAAAAAAAAAAAAAAAAAAAAAGCAAACCTTCAACAAACCACCTTGATTGAAAGCTGTTGTGTCTGCTTACCATCTTAGAGCAACCTCTGTATTAGCTCTTGGACTGAAAACAATACTTGAGATCTTTAGTAAAACATTGTGACCGTGGAACACAAACTGGACTCGCTTAACTCTCTGCTGCTTGGGTTGCCAGATGTGGGTAGCTTTATAATTCAGGCTGTTGTGGGAAAGGATCTGGTTACATCATTATTTAAAGAAAGATCAAAAGAGTTAAGACATGATGTTTGATCTTCCTGAATCCCAACTGGAAGAAACAATTAATGGGTTTTTGTTTTGTTTTTTTTTTTTTCAATTTCTACTTGTGACTCTTGTTAACTGTATTTGCATGACAAAAGTACATGAAACGGTGATCTGCAAGTTACTGCTGTAATGTGAAGAGTTTTCTGGTTCTCCTTTGTGCAGTGAGATGTTCTTCTGTTGCTATTGCTTTGGCTGTCTGTGCTGTAGTGGAGTATTTGTGAGTCCTCGGGGCGGGGGAAGGAAATATCAATGTACTTGCTACTGCTTTATGAACTGTTAAAATTCTTGTTTTCACTAACATTGTGGACCTCTTCATTTCAATAATAGATCCTTAAAGTCTGTTACTGTAAGATGTAAAGCTGCTTCTTACTCTCATGCTTCTGATTTTTATTGTTTTAAGGAGAAAACATCAATTGTAGCTTGTCTTTAAATTTAAAAATTAAAACTTTGCGATTGTTTGTATAAATGACTGATGCTTTATTCCGATTTGCACTTCCTGGCTTCACTTCACACTTAACGCAATGTACAGTAACCCGCTTCGTCCTCCTCCCATCCTGACTTCTCTGGTACCATGCACAGCTTCTGGGCTCTACCTGGCTGTTTCTAACCGTTAGGTGTTTGGGGTTGGAGCCTGGCGGGAGCGTGGACCACGCCGATGGATGGTTGCATGCTTTGCCTTGTCTCTTCTCTCCCCGACACACGGGTGTCTGCGCTGCTCTACCCACCGTGCTCCCAACCGAGCTCTTCCATTTGAATGCATCACTTTCTGCTTTGTCATTAGCATGTGAAACGTGTTAGTAGCCAACTAATCATAAATATTGCCTTCAGGAAATGACTCTGTGTGTTTTGCCTCTTGTGATGAATACTGATCTGGTCTCAAAACTCACGTTCCTGTTGGGAAAAATCAGAAGCAACAGCTTCAAATTCCCAGCGACGCAGCTCGGCCAGAGCCGAACTGAGCACAGGAGGCTCTGGGAGTTGTAGATGCCAAACCTCGATGTGTCATTAGAGGGGTTTGTCTGCTACTTGGCCTTTTGTGGGTTTTTCTTCTGTGAAAACTCAAAAAATGAGACTGCCCCTTTCTCTCTTTACCCCTTTTCAGAAAGGCCTAAAGAATGTATTTGACGAAGCGATATTGGCTGCCCTGGAGCCTCCGGAGCCGAAGAAGACTCGCAGGTGTGTGCTGCTATGAACGTCCCTCCAGAGCCCCTTCTGCAAAGCTGGTGTTTGATGTCATACTAAAAGCAATGTTTAAATCAAACTAAAGATACAAATTTTAAAATTTGTTTTCGCAATAATGACAAATGCCCTGCACTCCCATCTCCCCCACACGATCCCTGTGTGAGATGAGAATGTTAGTGTTTATTCCCCAGTGCCCCCTCAATTCAGTTAAACTAGTTAATTTTGAGTAATTATGTATTATCAGAAAACACTGATCAGTACTAGTTTTTTATTTTGTTTACCGTTTCTAATTTTTTTCCCTTTGTTTAAAATCCAGGCATGCTTGTGATGACTTTTTCTGTAACAGACTAATTCTAGGCTGTTTTACTGAAGCCTTGTCCCTTACGCCAGTCTGGCAAGACTTGGTTCTGGTTTCAAGAACTTCTAGGGCTGTTCTGCAGCCAGCCAGCAGCCTGGGTGTGAGCAGACTTTAGTACTAAAGACAAAGACAAGAAAGTAAAATGTCCCAAGCTGGTGCTCCTCTAAGGAGGAGTGTAGAAAATGTATCTGCATCTCCTCTGAAGTTGCCTTGTATCTCTTCCCCTGGCTTTCCACTGTGCAGGTCATAAATTTCTACCCCATCCTCTAAGTTATGAAGCCTTAGGAATAGGAGAATCCTTTTCTCTGGATGCACCATCAGACTTGAAACTAGCTTGCCAGTCTCTTCTTTAATCTTGACATCATAAGCTTTTGTCATGTGATGAAGAAATAACTGCACCTCTTAAAGCATGCCCAACTGATTCAGTTGGCTTTTAACAAATCCATCTTCTGCCAATCCTTAATTCTTAGAGAAACACCTAACCATGACCAGCATGGACACTGCTGTTGGGACACTCTGAAAGGACCCGGTGTGTATTAAGATGAGTTTTGGAGCTGGCCCTGGTGGTGCATCTCTTACTGGATGGCTTGGCCTCCTTCAGGGAGGGGTGGGAATAGACCTGTGTCAGGAGGAAGAAACCCAAGAGAGGGTTTTCTAGTGTTTAGTTCGGCACCATATAGGGACCAGTTAAGGGAATCCCCTTTTTCTCCATTTTGCTCCTAAGTAAACTCAGACCTGTAAGATGGGCTCCAGCCCGCTGAGGATTGCGTGCAGGGTCTTTACGCAGACTGACTGCAGTGTTGTAGGGATTTTACCAAAAATATATTTTGGCTTGCAAATTCAAAGGTGGTTGTTTTTGGGTTTTTTTTTGGGTTTTTTTTTGTTTTGTTTTGTTTTGTTTTTTTTTTTTTTTTAAGATGTAGGGAATCTTCTCCATCTTCCAAAATTCCGATTTCTCGTAGACTCATTAGTGTTGAACCAATGCTTTTTCATGTCTAAGTTCTTTGTATATGCATTCTTTTCAGATGTATTAAACATAAAGTATCTTCACAAGCCTGCCTGAGGGTAGTTATTTCCCTTGCGAGCCCCACTCTTCTCCTTGCAAGTTAGTTTGGGTCTTTCCTTAAAGCTTAATCCTGTCACTTCATGTTGTCCCTCTTTGCTGCTGGCCTCAAGTTCTGTCAAGATTGCTCTGATCTTTGCTGTCATACCCAGCTCTGAAGGGAGGGCACGGTGATTCTTAACTTCTTAACGAAGGGAATACTTGTTTTTGTGTGTGTTCCCAAATATTAAAAGTTGGCTTTTGGGGCTTATTGGGCTCTTGCACCTCTTCTCTCGGGAAGCTAGGCTTTGTGGAAGTTTCCTGTGGTTCCCCGTTCATGGGCAGATAGCAAAACACTAAAGGGACAAATGACGTCATACTTACCTCCCTCCCAAAACCATACAGGATTTATTACACCCTTCTTGTTAATTCTCCAAAGAAATGGTGAAGACTTACACTGTTGATGCATAAATCAGATCAATTATTAAAACAAATTCCAAAGAGCCTCATTAAATACTTTTAAGAAGCTGACTTGTGGGTGCTGTAATCCCAAAGTTTAAGAGTAAAACGTGTGCTTTTCACTTTTCATAGCGATTAGTGCCCCTGTTGCCCCTTGCAGTTCAGTTTGCAATTGCTGTCTTCTGTGGGGAAGTTTGGCTCTAGGTCCCTGGTTCCCAGTTGGAAGTACTGCTGGTACTTGGAGTGCTTGGTGACAGTTCAGCGTTGGTGGCTGCTCTCTGTGCTTACACCAGACTGAAATGGGCTTCTGCACCTTCTGATAGCTAAATCTAAATCATATGTCTGAAGCCAGCAGCAGGATTGGTGACCAAGGGATTGTCTGCATGAAATTCAGC